AAATTTTAATTATATAGGACGGTATATATTTATGTAATATCCTATGAAATTAATAATGGCTGAAAATAATTAAATAAGGCTTTAGGGATTTTTCTAGAATTTTCTAGATTTTTCCGGGGCTTTTCTGCAATTTCCGGCGAGTTTTCCGGCCACCGGATGTGGGGGAGATGACCGGAGTAATCCGGTGTGATGCGGCGTACTTTAGGGTAGCGTGCGCGCGCATCCTGGGCCTTAGATGAATCTGATTGATCCGGTGCATCGCGGTCCATGTTACCGCGGTACACCCGGATCATTGACCCTTGGATTAGGTGAGATGAGATAAAGTGATCCTGTGTAGCGCACCCACAGCAAGTCAATACAACCAACCAACCAGGAGGTGCCACGTCTGCAGGAGACTTAAACGCGCGCGTGGCTGATGCCAGACGCGCGTGGAGGCGCGTGGGAGAGTGGGGAAGGTTGGGCTGGGCGTGGGGGAGCTTAGGGCAGCGCGTGGGGGCGCGTGAGGGGCCCTGTCAGCTGCTGGAACTTACCAGAATACCCCTAGGGCCTGTTTTGTAAATTCTAGAACCTTAAACTTGGAGTTTTAGGGCCTGTGTTGGTAGTTACGGGTTTAACGGGCCACGAAATTATTATTTTATTACCCGTTAATTATTCTTATGGCCGATTAATCTTTTCTAAGCATTTATTGGCTCGTTTACCGTACGGATATGAATGTGATTTATTTAACGACATTGTTAAATATAAATAGTGTTATTATTTTATTCAATAGTATCAAACATTACTGTTAAATTAAATAATGCCATGGTTTTAGTCATATAAATTATCCATGATATCTTATGGGATGTTTATACTGTTAAATGATATATAAACCATGATTATTATGCTGTGTGCATCTCAGGAAATAAATGGACTGTTTAATTATGTCACATTTATATTATATGGATGTGTTGCCATATAGAACCATGTGAGCTGGCTAATAAGTTTAGACTCATTTATACCTTATGCATTCGTTGTTATAGACAGATGTGTGGCTGTCGGGGTATGTGGTTTAATATTATTGGCATGTGTTGCCTAATTGATATACTTAGTATATTTATTCATATTATTGGCATGTGTTGCCTAATTAACATACTCAGTATATTTAGTATTATTATTGGCATGTATTGCTTAATTGTTATGCTCAGTAACTCATTAGTACATTGAGATGCGTTATTACTGTGTAGTCTTTACAGTCTGTGTTGTCAGTACCGTGCACCATATATAATAGCTGATTTCCCGGGTAGAGAAAGGAGACACTTAACCACCTAGTGTGAGTCTAAGTGATCACCGTCTATTTTGGTTGAGGTCATGTTATACATTGGATAGTTCCATTAGGATGTATATAGATATAGTACTCATCCAGATATAAATGATTAATTTATTTGATTCTCTGATTTGGGTCATAGTAGAGAGGATTTGCTCGTGGGGTTGACCCACCATTGTTGTTATTTCAGGATACGGTCAGTACCCGTTCCAAGGTTTAGGTTAGCAGTGTGGGACCACCATCCGAACTCATCTACTCTTACGATCCAGTTCAGGGTAGAAGTTTTATGCATTACTTCAGTTTCAGTTTTTATTTACTTTTGACGTTGAACTCTCAGGTCTATTTAGGAATCCTTGACATAGGATTTCCAAGTTGTAATGGAGTACTATATTAAATAAACGATGGATGGATGTTGTATTATTTAGGGTTTCTTTCCTGTCTAAATTCTTTTATTATTATCATTTTGTATTCCATGCTTGTATATTGCCAATTGTTTTTGATATCCCTCGTTTTTCGTGTATAAGTCTGATCAACTTATGCGTGAAAAATGTGGGGGTGTCACACTCTCCATCTTCAAAGAAGAGGGGAGGGGTTCGATCCCTGAAGTGAGCAATAAAAGTCTGTGTTTGCTTTATCATTCAAAAAAAAAGGTTTAATTCTCATTTTTTTCTATTTTTCTTTCTTTTCTCTGTCAATTTTGAAATCTTAACTTAAAATTTAAATATCAAAATCTAAAATATTCTCATTTCTAGATTGACATTTCGATCAAATCAATATGCAAAAGCGAACTGTTCATTTTCATGATGTGTATTGCTATTGTTCTTTTTAAAATGATTTAATACAAAATTAGAATAATTTTAACAAAAAGTCCTATAATTTTTGTATTCTCTGTTACATTGTGTGTGGTTTTATTATTATTATTATTGCTTGATTGATTTTTTTTTTTTTGTCGGTGTTTGTCAAGTGTAAGATATATATATATATTAGCAGTAATTTATTTACAAAAAGAGTTACTGTTTGTGGATATATATTAAAATCCTACGACGTAAGCAACAACAATACTTTTTCATTATCGATCCACTCACAGAATGAAGAGATCTTTAGTCCAAAACCACACGAACAATCAAGATCAACAATTAGTAGTTTATTTCTAATCTTCTTTCCTAAACTTCAAGCAATTGGGCATTCTTAACAACCAAATACAAAGAAATATATTATATACGATGACGGACTCATAAAATTATATGCAAAACGAGGAAATAATGATTTTTTTAAGTACTTTTAAAAGGATAATAATAGTATTTATGAGTATATAATTGAAAAAAACAAATTAGCAAGGTTTTATTACTAAAAATCTCATATACATGTAGGTTCATGCCTTTATAATGAGAATACTTGTGACGATTATACAGCTGTCGCGTGCATATATATTTTGTTGAGTTGATATTCATACTTGTAAGATCATGCATTCAAAAAAAAAAAATTGAATTATAAAAAATATTAAAAGAACATGAAAAGCAAATATATGCATCCAGCTGATTAATAAATATACAAGCAATTTTATTAAATAATGTGACAAGTACAACATGAATGAATGTCATTTTTATTTATATTGACAAGGAACAATTATAAATAAATATACAAGCAATTTTATTAAATAATGTGACAAGAACAACATGAATAAATGTCATTTTTATTTATATTGACAAACGACAAATATTGAACCCTTGTGCATATATATATGTATTGGTCAATTCTCAGAAGTATAGGAAAGAAAATTCACAAGCGGTGATTTTGGATGAGCTCAAAATATTCAACTCGATCGATGACATATTGTATTTTCACTTTAAAATTGTAGAACATGCATCTCAAGGAGGGTTTTAATGCTACACCGACGTTAATGCCAAAATGCATTAGCGTGTAGAGAATCAAAACAAAACCCAACTCGAGATCGGCAATTAGGGTATCAATGTACCTAGATATAAACGAGAATACATTGAAGAAATCGATCAAGAAGATTGAGTAGAGTGTGATGAAGAATGCAAGTAAGAGGCAGATGACCATGAGGAAGATGACCATGAGAAGAACACAAGAGATGAATGAGCCGTGAAGAAGTGCAAGGAGGATTAGGTCTATGTTGGGTACCATCTGCAGATAGAGATTTGAGTGAACACAGAGAACACAACAACGAGGTCTTACTTGTTAGGTGGAGAAAGTTTAATTTGAAAAAAGAGGGAAGAATGAAGTAACCTCCACTCATTCCAACAATTAAATTACCACAACGCCCTTTTGGTATTTCTTTTAAAATAAGGCAATGTAAGTAGGGGGCCAGGGGCTGTACTTAAACACAGCTTTAATTAAAACTTTTTAAGTTTTCAGTAAAATAGTTATTTTTCAATTGATCAGATTCTTAAATTATGTAGTATATATTATGTGACATATAAATATATATATTGAATTGTGTGAAATAACGAATTAAATCTTAACCATTGAATATAAAAATATAAACTATTTTTTTAACAATCAAATGAAATCTGAAAGTTAATATGCTTGAGTTGTGCTTACTTTTGGAGTAAGTGACCAATTGTGTGTGTGTGTATATATATATATATATGCTCTTATATTTAGTTGAAGAAAATATAGGGTGAAATGCATTAAATCACTCTAGCATTTTGTAGTAACTTCCCTTTAAAAACACTCCCGGGGTATTTTTTTTATTTTTTATCCAAAAATATCCCTACTAACTCGGGGAATGGGGTGTTTAAAATTTTTTAAATTTGGTCAAAATCCAAAATTAACCTATCCTAAGTCACACAATTAGTTTAAATTGGTGTCGCTCTCACGTTCCGTGTGTATTTTCGTTTTGATTTCTATTCGGTGTGACTTAAATTTTTTCACTTTCGCACACCTGCTCCCGCTTTATGTGAGATCTAAAAATCATAAATAGACTAGTAATATGGTGTCTATTGTCCAAGATCAGGACCAACTTAGTTCACCATCAGTGGCCCCAATATAGATTTGAATCTGTTGCACGTGTATATTGTTGGAGGCAACAAATAGTCATTTTAAAAGTGGGGCTTTTGAAGTAGGTGGGCCAAGTGGATACCAAACCCATAACCTGAAAGGGGACTGGGCCGTCAAAATATTGTGATGAATAAATGAATCGTCCAGAGACGGCCCATTTGCAAAAGGGGAAAGCTCATGTTTGGGCCCTCAGCCCGCAGCCCAATTGAGCAAAGTACCCATTCAAAAACGGTACAGAAGTTTTCTACGAAAAAGAGGAATTATCCATCAAAGGAAAAGAGAAAAATATGGACAAATCTGAAGAAAAAACTTTAACCAGTGATATGGTATGATTGGTTTTATCTATTGAAATATATGCATTCTTGAGGAGATAAATTGGCTGATAACACCGGTGACATGATACTCGTGTGATGCAAGAAAATTTATAAATCTTTGATATATAGTCCATTGAAATAGATACATTCATGATAAAATACATTGGCCGATAACACCGATGATATGGTACTTGTCGTGCACAGAAGAATTTCACCAAACCTTGACGCCATCTAAAGACCCAAAACCCTATAATCCTCTTAGGGTAGCGATTAGCGAAAAACCAAACCCATTTTTTGTGCACCTCATCACAACTACTTCGAGCCCTCTATTTTTTTACCTTGGGATCATGTAAAAAAAATTAAAAAAACCAAATATATTTGAAATTAAAAGGAAGGTCGAGTCAATATAACAGTTACATATCTTTATTAAGAATTCAATTTCATTTTCAACAAAATAATGTCTTGCAAATAGAATTTTCAAATAAAAAGCTTATCCAAATGATTGATGTAGTTGCAGCAAGTACGTAGTAAAAAACCAATACACCATCTCACATTCTCACTCCTCCCAGGCATACTGTCTCTCTCTCCTCTCTCTCTCTCTCTCTCTCTCTCTCCTACCGTCATGCTGTAGCACTTCTACAAATTAGTCTGAAGCAAGGAAGCCACACCATCTCTCTCTTTAAGGCGCCAAGAGATCGATATCATGAAAACACATCAACCAAAGCTCAAAACCACACCAGGTCCACTCTTCTCCTGTGGTTTCTTCCGCCATTGTACTCAAACCGTCCTCAGTCCCACCACCTCTAACCCCCCAACCCTTCCTCCACCGGAATCTGACCCACCACCACCTCCTCCTCCGCCACATCCTTCTGACCCACTACCCCAACAACCTCCACACGCAGAATCAGAGTCCTCTTCCTCCTCAAACACCTCCCAGAGTTTCACTCAGTGGAGATTCCCGCTCTCAAACTCGCCCATCTCACACCACCCACACCCACCGACGGAATCTGACGTACTTTTGAATTCCCGGTCTGACCCACCTCCGCAAACCACCCACCAGTCTGACCCGCCGCGGCCGTTGCCGGCGCTTTCAACCACCAACCTCCAGGAGCTCTTCCACGTGGCGGAGCTCGAACTCAGTTCCGAGTCGCACTCGGACAGGGTGAAGGCGCTTTACATGCTGGAGCGGTCACTGGTCCCGAACCCGCCCGCGGCCGTGGACGGCGGCGAGGGGATGTGTCCGGCGGCGGTGATGAAGTGGGTGGTGGGGTATTTGAAGGAAAGGGAAGGGGCAAAACCGGCAACGAAGATCTTGCTGGCGCTTTGTCTGGCGGAGGGGAACAGACACGTGGCGGTGGAGGCGGGTGCGGTGGCGGGGGTGGTGGAGGCGCTGGCGGACCTAGAGGGTGCGGCGGCGGAGAGGGCGCTGGCGGCGCTGGAGCTGCTTTGCATGGTGGCGGAGGGGGCGGCAGAGGTGAGGGCCCACGCGCTGGCAGTGCCGATGTTGGTGCAGGTGATGGGGAAGATGGCGGGAAGGGGGAAGGAGTATGCCATCAGCGTCTTGGCGGTGATTTACAGTGGTGAGTCAGGCGAAGGGGTGGCGGCGCCGCCGGAGCAGGTGGCGCGTGCGGTGGTGCTGGCGTTGCAAGGTGACTGTACTGCCAGAGGGAGGAGAAAAGGGGCCCAGCTTCTGAAGACTCTGGAGGAGAATGAACGACCAGATTTGACCCAGGAAGAAAAATAGACGGCTGTGATTGGTCATGGTTGTAGTCAAAGGACCAATAAACCTACGTGTTGTTGATATCTCAAAGACCATGACATGTTTATGTTATGTTAGGGCTCTGTACTTCACTTTCACATGTACAAAATGTTAGCCTTTAATTAGAAGAGTTTGTTTATATATTGTTTAGTTTATGGACCTAAAATAAGTCTGATGATATTAACAAAAGTTGTTATTTTACTATTTTGCCCTTAAGTGTTTTTTTTTTTTTTATATATCTTTAACTTTAAATATAGAAAATAAATATTGCGAGGGTAAATTAGAAGAATTTTGAAATTCTAATTTACTAATTCATAAATATTTTTGATCTTCTTGCACAGCGATAAAGTTGTTTTCTATATGATATTGTAGTTTTTTAATTACCATTTCAAATAATTTTTCTTAATGGATATCACTCTCCTTTGAATGTTTTTTTTTTTTTAATAAAATATATGTTTCGATAGTCCAATGATTAGTATATCGGTGATTTTTTGCACCTTCTAATTTAATTTTTAACTCATTTTATCTTATTAAAAAAAAAATTTATATTTCGTGAGTGTTCTAATTTAAATTTTTATTATTTACTCCTTAATTTTACCGTTCCATACGCATTCTTTTTCTCTCGGACGAGGAGAAACCAAGTTGGGGGTTGTATGTCAGATCCACGTGTGGTGGTGAAAACGATACACACATAATTGATAGTCACATGAGTGTGTCAGGCCTCAGATTTTGGGTATATGAGGGCAAAAGTATAGTTAATGAAGTCAGAAAAAAGCCTGTTTCATAATAAAGGTCATAGTCAGAATGTGGGCCAAGGGCACCCTTATAAGGCTAATAGATCTTGGCCCAATCAAATTTTCCTGCCTTTTTTAGTTAGTGGGCTTCTATAAAAATTTTATTTTTAATAAGCCCATGATCTTTATTAGTGAATTGAAGTCACGGCCTCCTTGGGCAACAGGCAAATGATTCTTCATTTTGTAGAGTCTGATGCTGAGATCGAAAGTCGGACAATTACAAATGAGTTAAACATGTTCGAACTCTTGAACTATTTATCATTATTTTTGATGACACATTCATATTTTACTTTTCACCATTTTTACTCCACTTAAATTTTTTAATAACTGAAATGACCAAAAAAAAATCCTTAAAAGTGGAGTGCAATTATAACTTTTTTAATACAGTGTTATGATTGTGAATATGTTTTGGAAGGGTAACTATGTCATTTTCTGTGCAAGTGACAAAAAAAAGAGAAGAAGAAGGTGGAGTACAGTATCATCACCCTGTTGATATTAAGGAGAATTTCATGCTCATTGCAACTTAGACCATACATAGGGGGACAGTTTTTTACCAATCAAATCAATCTACTCTCAATACTTGGCAGTCCTTTAGTACAAGGGTAAAGTGTAATAAACCGCTTGTATTATCAGGCAATTGCACAAAACCCCTCTCAATTAAGCATTGCCCCTGAACTATTAAAAAATTACATCTAAGGACAAAATTAAAAATCACCATGATCAGAGTTAACCAGAAATAGAAGATTACCATTTTACCCTATGATCAAACGACGCTGTTTAATTACTTTGTTAGATGTTGTGGCTGATGTGTCAAAATTCAATCTTAATAATCAATACGAATCTGTCAGCACATCACCATATATATCACAAAAACTATCTAACACACTACTTCATGTTAGCAGCCAAACGCCTCCTTACGCTTTTTCTCTCTCTACTCTGTCCCTCTGTACGATATCCTTATTCGGCGACGGATGAATTACCCACCAATCGCAACCTCTGTCAATTGAACCAGCCAACGACAATCATCGGCGACAATCGCCGCCGACTCTGGATATTTTGATTAGAACCTGATTTGGGGGAGTGAAGCTTTGGATTTTGCCGAACGTCCATCAATCGACCTACAACTCTCTTTATCTTATCTCTCTCCCACAATAATCCTAAATCTGGATTTTCACAACTGAGTAATTAACTTCTCCTTGTAAAACTTTGCGACGAGCAACCACTTCACAAACAAAACGCCGGCTGCGACACCAATTGGAGAACTTGAATTTGGAAAAGAATATAATGGTGATCCGTGGTCTAGCTTCTTAAAAAGCCACTATTCAACTATATATATATATATATTGCGATAGTGACGGTAGGCCATGAAAAGTGCCCTCTGTTGAGTGGTGGTGAGGGGAGGCGATATTGCGCCGGCTTCGGTGCCGGTGAAGAGAGAAAATTTGGAGGCACGTCAAAGAAAGAAGCAAATAGCCGATTTTGAAAAATCAGGAAAAAGATTATTAATTTTGGGGTTAAATGCAAAAAACCCCCTTGAACTATTGGGGTTTTGCAAGAAACCCCCCTGAACTACAAAAAACCCCCCTAAACTATTGTTTTGTTGCAATTCACCCCATCAGGTCACCGGAAAAGGCAAAAGACAATTCCGCCCTTACTATGACCTAGGATAGTGCTACACTAGTAGCCAAACAGAGTACTGGGATATATTATGCATATATATGGTATATCATATATGCCTCTGCAAACCCAGAAGGGGAAAGTACTGTAGCCGCGGGGACGACGATGAGGATTTGCCGGAGGAACGGCGGTGAGCTCGGCTGGTTCATCTCTTCATTCGCGAATTGGTGGGTCGCTTCAGCTCTCCGATGCAAGTCATCTAAAACTTGGGGTAGCCGGAGTTAATCGCTGAAGGTTCTGGGTCTGTCTCAAACGCAATCTTGCGGTTCCCTGAAGCTTTTCCGATAAAGGTCGTTGAAGCTTTTCTGATAGAGGTCGCTGAAGCTTTTCTGATTGATTGAATGTTTATGCTCTTCAGGTTTGGTCGCCGTCTATATGGAGGTATCAGTTGGGTCTTCAATGGAACTCTAGTTCAGTTCATACAGCTTCGATTCGGAGCTCGCCGGCTTCAATGGACGCTGCTGCTGCTCGGAGCTCGCCGGACTGGATGGGTTGTTGTAACTCTGCACATGTCTTCATCTTCGGTTGGGCCGGTGATACTCAGAGCTTCCCACCGATGGCCATAGAGTTTGAAGCCGGGTATGGAAAAATCAATATCTGGCAGTGGTTTGTTTATTGGAGGCTTGGAGCTGTTGCAATCTGGTATGGGTATGATTGTGGGTGTAGGAACAAAACAAACCCAGTACAAATTATTAAAAAAAATAAGAAAATAAATAAATTTAAACAAACCTCTGCAACTTTGTTGTTTTAAACAAACCCAGTACATATTGTTAGAAAGATTTCAAAAAATTTAACTTTTTAAGTATTTGATTGGACTGGTATAGACCATTTAATCGATCAGCAGATTCATCACAATAGAAAAAAATTTGTAAGCTTTAATGGAGAAGTTGAATTGGTTATAATACACCATTAGAATATATATATATATATATATATATATATATATATATATATATATAATATCAATGAACTGTAACCCAACAGCTAATTAGAACTTTGATCCTTTAGATGATATGGAGGTCACTTTGACTCAAATCATGTAGTGTAAAAACACAATGTTGATGAGTCCTTGTAAACCCAGTTCTCAAATTGAGGGTTTGAAAACTGTATGCTCTCTTGTTTCCTCCTTAAATTCGTAGTGCAGGCATCACAGGGAAAGAAACTTACTACCATCTTGCAGTTAGGTTTGATGAAGAAGATAAACAGTGTTTGTAACTCTCTCTCTCTACATGTAATATATATAAAGTGATGAGGGTGTGTTTGAGTAATTGGGTGTAACAGTAAACTAAGGGTGTGTTTGGGTGTAATGTTCATAATAAGGGTAATATAGTCTTTTATGCTCATAAGGGCATTATGGCCATTAGGTATATATTGTGTGATCACGTGACTGCATGTGATGGTTTTAACGGCGAAATTCAACCGGCCGGTCGCCGGATGGAGCTATCTGCAACAAAAATTATAGTTCAGGGGGGTTTTTTGAAAATTTTGAAGTTCAGGGGGGTTTATTGCTGATTGGCTAATAGTTTAGGGGGTTTTTTTGCATTTAACCCTTAATTTTGTGATCGAAGGTGCAGATGAAGTGGATAGTATTTGAATTTTGTGAAGGGATCCATGAGATGGGTCTCAGGTCTGTGTAACTACATATATATATATATACATATCTATGACTTGTAAGACTGAAAAAGGGTTTTTTTTTTTACTCGTCACATTCAACACCATTGATGCATTTCTAGGAGAGCATCCCAATTCAAAGGGTGTGCTGCAAGTCCTGAGATGGAAATTTGAAGCAAAGCCAAACATGGGACAATGCCATCAAAACCATTATAAACATGCCAATAAGGTGTTCATGTAAACATCAAATAATAAAATACTAGCTAGGGCATAAATTCTTGCATCACAGAGCCTGTACAACAAAACACCAGATTCAGTAGTACTAAAAACGTTGCATTCAGAAGCCTACGCATTAATTAAGAAGCCCAAAAGGGGAAACTATTCCACAAAATCCAGAAAAGGGCAATGCCTGTGGATATAGGCAGACTTGAAAACCTTACCAAAAGCCTTACCGGTCTTCTCTCTATGAGCAATATTATCAGCTAGAAACTCTCATATACATAATTAAATCTAAAACCATCTCCTGCAGTTTGTTGATTTAAGAAAGTGAGGATTGATCAACCCGGCGATCTCAAGAAACCCAACACGCTCCTTCCCCGCAAATATACTCTTCAGCTTCTCATCACAGACTATGATCTTCATGTTTTCAGGTCCTGAAGGTTTTCCTGTTTGATGTAAGCCCAAATCTACTTGAGGGCTTGGGTGCGAGGGATCTCAGGGACGCCGCCAAGGAACGCTTGTATTTCCGGCGACACGCGGCGGAGCTTCATGATTCCTATCGGCTCCCGCTTCCCTGGAACAGTCGCCAGCTTCGACGCGGTGGCATAGGTAACCGTGCGCATTGTGCGCATGCTAACACGAGCAGGAGAAACAACTGGAGCTCCGACAAGCCGCAGAGACAAAGACGACAACTTGGAGAACGACGCCGTGTCGTCAACCAATACGGTAGAGAAAACCCCCAAAGAAATCGCCATTTTGAGGCCTTCGTAGCGATGGTGGTGTTGCCTTCTCTCTCTAGAAATTGGGGAGTGTGTGAAGTCATAGACTGAAACAGGTTGAAAGGGCTCAATTTGGGGATTTATTAAATAAGGGTAAAATTGTCATTTTAAAATTGTAGCATAGGCCACGTGCTCATTTCACGGACAGAACTTGCCGGAATAGTGTTGCTTGGGGTATATTGCAAAAATTGAAATAGTTTAGAGGGTTTATTGTAAAAATAGAAGTTCAGGGGGGTTTTTAGGAAGAGAGAGTAAAGTTTAGGGGAGTTTTTTGCACTTTACCCTTAGTATAATTATGTGTGTGTGTGTGCGAGAGAGAGAGAGAGAGAGAGAGAGAGATAGATTTTTATGTTTTTCTCTCTTTGTGTAACGGTGTAATAAATTTGAACAAATATTAATATAAATCAATTGAATCAATCGATTTATAGGGGTATAGAAGTAGACCTGTCAATAGAGCAGATCCTGATCCAGATCCGATTAGTCGGATATGGATTAAATAAAAAATTCGATAACCCGGTTACGATCCAAATCCGATAATCCGTTAACTTAACAAATCGGATAAGGATTATGCTGATCCGATCCGATAAAAATCCGATCCGATCCGATTGAGATTATATATATAAATAATTATTTATCAATAATTTTACACACATATATATATCAATACTCCTATTAGAATTGTACTAGAGGCAACCCAAAAATCCAAAATAATAACAATATTATATATAAATATTGTGGTGTTCTCATCTATATGTTAATAAATCTCTTAGTACACATACTAATAAAATCATACTCTTTATAATTATATATATTAGTAAATATTAATTTAATTCGATTTCGAATCCGATCCGATCCGAGTCCGAATTAAATAGGATATGGATTGGGACATTCAGTTCGAGAATCCGTTAATGATCTGAATCCGATAATCCATTTACTTAACAAATAAGATATGAATTTGATCGATCTGATCCAATCCGATTCATTGACAGATCTATGTAGAAATGTGTATCGGACTCAGGCATGGTTGTGTATTGGTTGAATGGGCCCTGAAGTGTTAGAGATGGATGGGGGTTTAACCACACCCACTCATGGTACAAAGTGTGCACTGCACACACACATGCAGGCGCAGAGAGAGCGAGAGGTGACTCAAAAAATATTTATTTTTCAGATGATTTGGTTTTGTGGAGATAAGTTTTAAAATTTTAAAGGTTTGTTTCGGGTATAGAAGTCAAAAGAAATACTTATATATAATGCCAAAACACATAAACTCCAAGACAAGCATCAAACTGGCATGTCTTTTAACGTAGCTGAAATTAGGTACATATTATTGAGCATGGCTATGATATATATGTTGACATTTTTTGTTAGATATATGTGCACCCAAAAAAAAATATCTTATATTTTTATTTTATTATATTATTACTTTTAAGCCAGTGAAATGTGTATTCTGTTCAATATATTATATAAATTATTATTTTATTTTTAAAAATAAAATAAAAATAAAAATAGAATAAATATTTAGCATTGTCTATGTATTGTACATGGTTCACACTTGCCGTCATAGTAACGGTATTAGTTATTAGTATAAATTGGCCGATATTTATATGGTTCGTAGTCATAATCGCGGTGTAATGGACTCAAACAAAATCAGTATAAATTAGTTGATATTTGAAAAAAGGTAGCAATTAATATCACGCCTAGATACATACCCGGTATCATATTTTTATCATAATTGAGTCCATATAAACCTAAAATTGAATAAAGAAACAAAGTAGGAAGGTGGTTCTTACATCTATAGTATAGCACACAAATCCCCAAAAGGTTACATATCTTTTATTATAATAATTTCTCTTCTCATGAGGTAAAGACTCTTTTATATAGGATAAAAAATAATGAGAATGAAAAGAGATAGATACAGGAAACAATATCAATACTAAAAAAAAATTTCCCCACAAATCCCTCCAATATTTACAATAAAAGGAAACATGGACAAAATCTATAACAATAGGGAAGAGCATTCGGAAGAATTTCCTCCATGACAGGATATAACTTACGACTTTAGTTGGTTAGGTGAAAACAGCTAGAAAATAAAGGAAACATAAGATTTTTAAATTTTTGTAGAGTTTGGATATATAGAAAGAAAAAACTAATGGAAAATTTTATTTCCATACTTGTTTATTTTCTTTCAAAACTTTTCATGCACAAAACACAAGGAAATAATTTTTTTGAGTGAAATGTTTGCCTTTTAATTTGACATTCCTATTTTACCCAATAGTGAAAAACAATTTCTTCCTTTATTTTTGTACTGGATTTCTAAGAGGCAAGTTCTCTGCAAAACTAACTTTTTCTTTGTTTTGTTTTGTTTTTTTTTTTTTTTTTTTTTCACCTTTCTTTATTTTTCCACAAATTCATATATAATTGGCAACAACAAAAAATAATTATATTATTAAATTTAATAATCCATTATTTTACTATTTCTTTGCTAAAAATGTACATCAATAAATACAAATTCATTTATTTATTAGTATTTAAAATTATAAGGGTAAATTTGTATTTTTAATCGATTTCTTTTTATTTTCATGCTATTCAAAATAATAAATTAATATTTTTTTACAATTTTCTTGAATAAATTTTCATTCTAACCAAATGCAAAAATAATTTTTTTTCTATTCACTTCACTTTTTTTTCATTTTATATATATATTTTTTTCTTGCTTATTTCTATGCAACTAAACGGGCTACTAGTCACTAGTCTTAAAAGTCTTCCCCACATTTTCAAGCGAACATGTATCTATTAGTAAATGATTCTTTTCCATGTATGTAATATATATATATATATATATATATATATATATATATATATAAACGTGTGTATGTATCTATCTTGGTGTACAATTCAAGCAACTTTTCTTCTCTCTCTCTAATCTCCCTTCAAAGCATTACCTTCCCTCCTTACCCCCAAATATGAGCCCCCAACAAACCATAGCCTAAATCACAAAAATTGAGCCAAAAACGAGTGTTAATTTGATGGCTAACCTTGGCCTCTGCCTCTGGTGGCTCCTTCACACCCTGCACTTGGCCACCACCATCCATGCCATGCCGCCACCGCCACCCGTCCAATGCAACCAAACCGGCTGCAATCTCTCCAACTCCTACGGTGTTTGGGGGGACAGAAAAGAATGCCATGTCCCAAACATCACTTATCCAACAACCCAAACAGAGCTTCTTTCAGCCATCGCCAATGCAAACAAGAACAAGCTCAAAGTCAAAGTAGTCACCAAATTTTCACACACCATCCCAAAACTGGCCTGCCCGACATCAATGTCCACAAATTCAATCCTAATTAGCACCGAAATGTACAATTCCGGTATTGAAGTTGATGTAAACAATCTGGTTGTGACAGCTGATGCCGGGGTGAGCCTCCGAGCGCTGATCGATAGGGTGGAGGAGGCGGGGCTGAGCTTGGTGGCTGCGCCGTATTGGGAGGGTGTCAGCGTGGCCGGAATGATTAGCACCGGGGCACACGGGAGCTCGTGGTGGGGGAAAGGAGGAGCCATTCATGATCATGTTGTAGGGATGAGCCTAATTGTTCCTGCAAAACAATCTGAAGGGTATGCGAAGGTTGTTAGATTGGAGGCTCATGATCCACTCCTCAATGCAGCAAAAGTTTCTTTGGGATTGTTGGGTGTTATCTCTAAGGTCAGTTCTATATATATGTGTGTGTGTGTGACATCAATATCACCCCTGGTTTAATTCAACCAAAATTGGTTTGTAGATAGTTGGATGTGTTGAAATTGATCAACTCAAATTTGAAATGTGACACTGAAATATGTATATATGTTTCTATATATGGAGATTAATTAATGAGACATCAATGTCACCTCATGATTAAATCAACCAAAATTGGTTTGCAGATGGTTGGATGTGTTGAAATTGATCAACTCAAAATTGAAATGTGACACTGAAATATATATATGTGGGTGTGTGTGAAGATTAAAGGATAAACTAATAAGAGCACGGGCAAGGAATCATTGCAATTTGTTGTTACTACTTACTAGCTAGCTGTATCTCATGCTGTGTGGCAAGCAAATCTAATGATGTAGTAGAATAGGGTAGATATAATAATTAATGCATGTAAGTGCAGGTAATGTGATGTAGAGAGGATATGACGATGAATATGGAGATTGTTTGGACCGCGTACAAATTTTCAGGATAATTTTGACGAGTCCATTTTGATCGAAAAAGACTCATTCTTGTTCAACATCAATCGGTCCAATGATTAATACTCATCATCTTTGCTTGTGATGTATGCTGTTTTACTGCCAAAATTCGTCCTTTAAGACTCCAAAATCGTTTTTTTAGTCATATAGGAAGATGGACCTTCTTCTTTTTTTTTTTTTTTTTTCCTTCCTTCTTACACACACATGCCTCCACTTAGGCTCGAACCTTGACATTCCTTTGGGAAGTTATGGCTACTGGCTTGTTGGTTATAGGAAGATGGTTTATTATTTAGGAATTTTTGTCGGAGGTTTAAACAGATTTAGATTCTTCGAATTTTGGAATTTGTTTGTTTTTTAGTGATTAGGAAATTTATCTTTTATGTTTTTTTAACTTTTAGAGACAGTTTTAGGATTTATTTCCTAATATAAATATATGTTCTGTAAAAGTAAATTTATTCATTCAATATCAAAATTAGTTTCTCTTAATTTTGTGGATTCAAAATCGTTCACTTATTCATTCTTTATAACTTCTGCTTCATTATCTAACCGTTGAATCATGTTGAATTCTCATTAAAATGAATTCACTATATTTGTCTTAAATTTCCTCTAATTCCAAATTCAAGGCACCAGATTTCCCAAAGACATATTAAAATCTGAAATGAATTGTATTGTAGGTGACATTCTCTTTGGAGAGAGGATTTAAGAGAAGCATAACCTATAATTTCACAGACGATGCTCGTATTGAGGATGAGTTCATGGACCATGCAACGAAACATGAGTTTGCAGACATTACATGGTATCCATCAAGACACACAGCTGTGTACAGATATGACGATAGAGTTCCTCTAGACACAACAGGAGATGGAGTAAATGACTTCCTAGGCTTCCAATCCAATTCTATTCTTGTCTCCAAATCAGTCAGAGCTGCAGGTTAATTTTGTCTCTTCCCTCCAATTTTTATCTTCCAATTCAACTTCTATAGATATATATATAACATTTAGATTATATTCTACAATGCACCATTGTGTTTGAACACTTGGATCATATTCTAAAATGCACCATTGTGTTTGAACATATTCTATAATGTAGCATTGTGCTTGAACATTTAGACCATATTAGGGTTTAGGGTTTAGGGTTTTGAAGATGAAAGCAGACATTTAGACCATATTAGGGTTTAGGGTTTAGGGTTTTGAAGATGAAAGCAGTGGAGACAGCGGTAATGTAGCATTGTGTTTGAACATTTAGATTATATTCTATAATGCAGCATTTTTTTCCCTGGTAAATCTATAATGTAGCATTGTGTTTGAGCATTCAGATTATATTAGGTAATGTAGTATTCTGTTTGAACACTTACATTATATTCTATAATGTAGCATTGTGTTTGAACATTTAGATTATATTCTACAGTGTAGCATTGTGTTTGAACGTTTAGATTGCATTCTATAATGTAGCATTGTGTTTGAACGTTTTTATATCTGAAAACACAGAGAAAGCACTGGAGAATGCAAGAAATGTCAATGGCAAATGCGCAATGGCGAATTCATTTATGGGATACAAGAAATTAATCGCTAACGGATTGAAGAACAATTTGATCTTCACTGGCTATCCAGTTGTAGGTTATCAAGGCAAAATGCAGACCTCTGGCTCTTGTTTATATTCTCCAACCACGAGAATCGATAGTGCTTGTTCCTGGGATCCAAGAATCAAAGGCCTATTCTTTTACGAGTCGACAGCAATTTTTCCCCCCCATAAGTTTGCAGATTTCCTTCGCGACGTGAGAAAATTGAGGGACTTGAAACCAGAGAATTTTTGTGGAATTGATATCTACAACGGGCTCCTAATACGTTTCATTAAGGCCTCGGGGGCGTATCTAGGCCAATCCGAGGACTCTGTGGTCGTGGACTTCAACTATTATCGCGCTGATGAGTCTTCAACTCCGAGGCTAAACCAAGATGTGTGGGAAGAAGTAGAGCAAATGGCATTCTTCAAGTATGAGGCTAAGCCACATTGGGCTAAAAACAGAAACTTGGCATTCTTGAATGTGCAGAAGAAGTACCCGAGTTTTAACAAGTTTGTGGCTGCAAAGAAGCAACTGGACCCTCAGAACATGTTTTCTAGCGAATGGTCGGATGAAATTTTGTTCGGGAGAGAGGCTAAAAAAGGCGACGGGTGTGCCTTGGAAGGACAGTGCATCTGTTCAGAAGACGGGCATTGCAGCCCGAGCAAAGGGTACTTGTGCCAACCAGGTCTTGTTTATAAAGAAGCTAGAGTCTGCAGGTACTCACAATCCTCCATGAGCATGACATACTACAAGTAAATTTTCATGTACATATATGAACAAAATCAAGTATTTACAGTGAAATCAGTTCAATTCTATTAGTGAACTATATGAATCATTAGAAAAAGTTGGAGCTAATAGTGAAATCTTGCTGTCAGAGCTCATTTTTTTGGTTTGGACTCATTTCATGTTTCCTACGTTGATTCATTGACTAATGGTGGCTCGGATACCTTTAGCTAGCCCAATGTAAGAGGCTCCCGTCATTCTGGGATTTGAATTCTCAAGGCCTTACTTTCCTATGGAGTATCGCAAAAGAAATTCCAAAGGTGAAAAATTGCAGTAATTCTGTTCAATTCAGCTCAATTACAATTTCTGTCAATTCCAACCATAGTATTTTTCTGATAACCGGGGTGTGCTGTGCTTTTAAACTAATCTATGGGACCATGCAAGATGAAAGTGCTTAGAAATTTATTTTTAGAGGATGCACATTGAAAATGATCAAATATATACGAGTATATATTTTTCTAACTAACATTGTAGCAAAATAAAAAACTAAAAAAATAGAAGTGCAATAATTAAGATTCAAATACTATGCCACTATTCTGAAAAATATGCAATAAAAAATTTTAAAATTTAAAATATGAACATTTAGGTTCTGTTTGTTTGGACTAAAATATTTTATTTTTTCAGGTAAAATATTTTCTTTTATTTTTATTTTTCGTTGTTTGGCAAAGGTTAGGTCGAGGTTGAGGCCGAGTCAATCTATTGGAGCGTGTAAAACAACTTGCAAAAAATTGATAAATAAGTTATTTTTACAACAACCAAACATCAGAAAACACAAAAAATAATTTACACTCAAACAAACAAACCAGTTGTTCATGAAATTAAAGTAAGCTTTTACAAACAAGAGAAAAAAATAATAAGAAGAACTTAGAAAAATGTTACTTCACATACATCATACTCGAGGGCAAAAATAAGAAATTTTAAGAAGAGATAACAAATAATAATAATAAAACAAAAGAAAAAGAAAATAAAAGGAAAAAGGAATTTGTACATTAGAAAAACTTTCTTAAGTTATTAAAATTACATGCCATTAAAATATTTCTCCATTTTTATATAGGTTAAATTACCTCATTGCTCAACTCGAGTCGATATATGAAAAAATATAAATTTGCTAAATTTCATAAAAAGTGAATGTAATTTATCTAATAATACTTGAAATAAATTATGAAAAAAAAATTCACATTCAGAAACATTATTGGATTGGATCAATCTAAAATCATGGATCAATCGGATTCCTATGAAATCGGATTATCGGATTGGTTTCCTATCAATATCCTAAACCTTATTCTCGAAAATGCCTTTTTCAAATTGGTTTCAATTCACAGTTCACATATCATCCGTATGACATCAAGACAACAAACCTGTACACGTGAATGATAGCACCATAAATCCCAAACACTTTGGCGCCAAAATTCCAATAATAATCTCCTACCAAACACGACCTTTCGGTACTCTCTTTTCACTCAGATTGGATTCTTAAATCTAACGGCTTACAACTGATTACCATTCTTTCACCGAATCCCAACCGTTCAACAAAATCTTTCAATTTAATCTGTCTGATAATTCTCCATCCCTCATCCAGCCGTCCATTATTTACAAAAATTGAATTTCAAAAGGTCCAAGAGGGAGTGAAGAGAACCCTCCTCAGCTCTCTCTCTCACCCAAAACCTAGTTAATCCGTCTTTACAAATTGATATTGCCAGATTCCGACCAGTCTTCAACGTTTCCGGCGACTATCAAAGCTCTTTGATGAACAATGTTTCTTATTTTAAGTTATTCCTAAGTAATCGAAAGCAAAATCGATTGTAATTTGAATTGTTTAATTTCGTTAAATGTATATAATTTATGGTTGTATTCGAGTTTGATGTGTAATGGAGCAAGGTGAACCTTCTGTGACGGAAATGGTGACAACAGCGGCCGATTTTCCGGCGAAAAAGCCCGCGAGACAACTCGATTTCACGGCAATGTGTAGAGCATCGACAAATGTGATATTGCCGGAGCATCCACAAGCGCAGTTACAGTCAAAATTGCTAGCATTAGCACAAAAATACCGACAACCACAACCAGGGGTTGAGCCGACGCAATTGGAACCACAACAGCGGCCTAAACAACCATCCCCGACCCCGACGGGGCCTCCGGCTGTGCAACCACAGTCTCGGAGGACGCTTCTGCCTCGGCCGACTTTCCAAGTGGTGTAAGTCTTTTTCTTTCTCGCTATTCTTGATCTTTGTTTCGGTAATTGCGACAACTTTCACACAAAAATATACATATTTCTCTTGTTGTTATGAATTGAATTTGTACAGATTGTTTGGTGTGAATCTAAATTTTTCGTGGGTGTTACGAAAACACGGTTGTACTGAACTGGAGTGACTATGGTGAGAAGAGATTAAAATCCATTATCAAGGGGTCAAAGTGTGTTACAAGAGCATTAACACCCCCCAAAAAAAAAAAATTTAATAACTGGTCTAGAACCTTACTTCCATGGTCTACAACACTTCAACTAAGTTAGCTTTGACTTTGTAATGAATTGTACCTTATAGTTCAAGTTCATTCACTGCATATATATACTGAAACCATGGAGAAAGCTGTCGGGTCTATCACTGTCTGAAGCATAAGCCGTATAACCCTTTCCATCATCAATTTTTATTTTTTTATTATATAAATTGTATGTAGTATTGACAGTAATGAGAAAATTCTCCGCTTGCAGAGGTAATGCTCCTTAAATCTACCCCTTCCCAAACCCCGCATTGGCGGGATTCTTATGCATTGGGTTTGCCCTTTTATCCATTTAAATTATTCGGACACACTTGTTACACCAATCCTTGTCATCTTGTAAGCTAGTAGTAGATAAAAATAAGGAAAGCATTTTCGCTGAAGCTTTGGGCAGCTTATTGACGAGTGAGAAGCTTTCTTTTTTTCTTTGACTACATCTTAAAACATTTCCTTTCTGGTGCAGCCGAAATAGAAACAATTAAAATGGAAATTGAAACTAGAATATTTTTAACTATGAAAACTATCTATACTGTGGTTTATTATGAAACATGGTATAGATTACCAGTGTAATTCTGTTTCACCTCTACGTTACATTAAACCAGCATGCTTAAAGGTACTATACTACTTCAGTCCTCACAAACATTTCTATGTCTTTTAAGAACTAAACAAGAACGTGGCTGGATGCAGTTGATTTGAGAGGAAATGCAAGGAAGTGATTGCTCTTAGTTGGTTCAAAGGTTTGGATCATGTATGATGCATCAAATAAACACCATTTAAAATATTTATTTACTTGTCTCTCATCTCTTTTACCAAAAGGTTAACAAACCTTGCCAATGGTAATGTTTGTTTGGTTTCCCTTTTAAATATATGTTCGATTAATTCTGATATTTGTTTATTTGACCTTTTTCTACTCACTTTGTGCTATTATATGTTCGGTTCATGTTGTTAATTGTTACGGGCTTCTTTGATTTCTTATTAAGTTATAGGTTTTTTAAATTTTGGTCTCTACATCTTTAACCATTTCTTCAGTCCCTTCACGCTAATGTTTGCTCGTTTCATGTTATTTTTACGTTAAATTATTCTTTTCTTTTATGTAACCTTTGCACACTTGCTTCATTAGCAAGACAGAATCTCCAAAATCACGACAACGATGTAGCGTTGAAGCAAGAGATGATACTCCAAAGAAGCAAAAGCAGTGTAATTGCAGAAATTCTCGTTGCTTGAAATTGTAAGTTCATTGAATCTCTGTTTGTGCTTTTTATTTTATTTTTTATTTTGCTCCTTTTGTATTAAGACTGCTTTAATTGTTGACTCTTTTTTGAATTTTTGCAACTTAGACCAGTTTCCATGGTTTTTTCATTGATTTGAATCCAACATGCACCTCATTGCATGTTCATTGAAGGAATCTTATAAAAGCTTGGCCACAGAAGGAATATAATTTTCTTATTGGTTTTACATGAATTCTTTCTCCTAAATAAGAATATTGTTAGACCTT